TGTTCCAGAAGGTCAACGTTTTTTAAACCCCGTTGTCCAAACCGGCATCCCGTAGTCAGGATGTGGTCTCACAAAGATGCCAAATATTCTTCCTAAGAGTCCAGATGGTAATATTTTGAACGTTTGTCTGATCCAGTGCAGCGTACAAGTCGCCTCCGGACTGACGTTTTACAGTGCTCTGTTGGCATCAAGTTCGCGGTAGTCCAAATGCCTAGATCTTTATGCGTATCAGCCTCTTTTAATGCGGCGCCATTTATAAACTAACTTTTTCTGGGAGGCTTTTCTAGAAGTGCTTGTGTGTAGAACCAGACACTTGGATACACTAAAGTTAAGAAGCCACAAGGACGACCAGGTAATTTTTTTATCGATGTTCGTTGGTAGCTTCTTTGCGTCGTCAGGACAGCTTACTTCAGCTTATATTTTTATTCCCTCCGAAAAAGTGACAGCTGCGCAATCAAGGAAGATTTGATTTTCCTTCCCCAGTCCATAGTCACCTATTAGATGCCAATTATATACCCTCTGAATGTAATGATGTTCTTTGCGACAGCATCGTAAATACTATCTTCGTTGACCACACTAGAGAACCAAATTGTGGAGGGCTTACCCTGGCAATCACTGATAACCATGATGAAGTTATGGCCATTAAAATTCGCATGTGGGTGGCAAAGCAATTGGTGGTAACGTGCCATAAACTGCGAAGTGTTCGGGCACTGCTTTTTCAGTAGGCCTGTGGCTGTGCATAAATTATTTCCTGTAAATATTAAGTTTCTGCTGCCTCTTTCTGCTACTGCACCTTCGCATCGGCTCCAGAACAGACAGTGGGATACAGTTCCGGGTCCAGTGAGTCGTCCTCGTCTCATTAAATTATAGGTTCTGCCAGGGCGAGTGCTATCTATATATTTGGGCGTCAAAGTCACCAACGCTACATCTAGTTTCATTTTGAATGTAATCCAATGATTGCACGCCGCACGTCTTGGAAGCCAAATCATATTTGGCCTTTGTAGGCTGGCCTGTAATCGGTGTATTTAACACTTGTTTCTGAATTTCCCAGAATCCAGAAGATTTCAATCTCATAAATCCACAAAGCACGAAGATGCATTTTTTCCAGAGCATGAACAAATTAGAGAAAATATTCATTATTGACCCCGTGTTACTGACCCTAATTTAGCCGGGAAAGATATTAGTTCAGGGTTACCTGTATTTGCTACGCATTGGTGTTAGGTGCAAGCAATTGCCTAGAAGTCCACTAACGGCCTTACTCGATGGATGCTAACCAAACATTCAGATCTGTCGGACACTTTTTCGCATCTGCTGATAAACTGGTGTTTAAACGGCTGACGGAGAAATGGATGTCGACATTTCCACATACTCTCCTGAGTATTAAATGACAACAGGTGGTTGCTGAATTGAAGCTGGTGTCGTAAGTTGCTTCGGCCTTCAGGATGATGATAAGAAAATATGCTACATACTGTCGTCTTTTCTAGTCCTGCAAAATATCTGTGGCATCTAGACTATTGAGGGGGTGTTGGGCAACCAGCCCCAACTCAACAGGTTGTCATCGTCCTCTGAATTCAAAGTCAGCCTGTGAATGCATCCGTGAAGGAAAGGCAAATATATAAACTGCATGCGGTAAATATTTGATGCTCAGGTCCCCATCCGATTTGAGCGGCTTGGAGCTTGGAACTTCAAAGTTTTCAGTTATGCGTGACAAGTGCACTGTAAGAAATAAATTAAAACCGTTTGTATTTTTGGCAAGCAGGATTAGTGAGGTCAATCATGTTTTTTTCAACTAAAAACTACTTCCTACTTTTCAGTAGGCATACTATTTTTTCGTGCAGCACGTCTCGACTTACGTGCAGGGGTTGGTCCGTGCAACAATTTACACCAATTGCACCAA